TTTGCTTATGTGGTGCTGAGGAATCGAACCCAGGGCCGCAGGCATGCAAGGCAAGCGCTCTACCACTGAGCCACCTTCCCAGCCCTCCAATCTGTTATTTAAGGGATTCACTTGGCAGACCGATTGGCCATGATTGACTACACTAATTTCAGATTGGCTCTAAAAATTGATCAGTTTGTGTCAACTGGGATGTGATAATTTGGGGCGGCTATGGGTCATTCTGGAAGAATAAACAGGAAGAATGTTGGGGGACTTCTCTTTCAGGGCACAGATCTTTATTTTATTTTTTTCCCTTTTCCATTTTTTTCCTGTGGCCATTTGCTTTTGCTGCTGAAGAGCTCTCCAAGCCCAAGCTTTGGGGATCTGTCCTATTCATTTATTGGTTCTCAGGGCTAATGTCTCAAAAACCAAGTTCTTAAGAATAGACTGAGGAGCCGGGCGCCGTGGCTCACGCCTGTAATCCTAACTACTCAGGAGGCTGAGCTCGGAGGATCTGGGTTAAAAGCCAGTCCAGGCAGGAAAGCCGGTGAGACTCTTATCTCCAATAATCCCCTCCCCCTCCTCGAAAACCGGAAGTGGCGCTGTGTAGAGCTCTCACCTTGAACTGAAGAGCCCAAGCCCAGAGTTCAAGCCCCATCACCATCACCAAAAAGAAAAAAGAATAGACTGAGAGCTGGGGAGATGGCTTAGTGGTAAAGTACTTGCCTTGCATGCATGAGGCCCTGGATTGGATTTCTCAGCACCACATAAGCAGAAAAAGCCAGAAGTGGCCCTGTGGCACTAGTGGTAGAGCGTTAGCCTTGAGCTGAAGAGCTGAGGGACAGTGCCAAGGCCCAGAGTTCAGGCCCCACAGCCAACCAAAAAAAAAAACTGAAAAGCTGGGTACTGGTGCCTCACACCTATAATCCTAACTACTCAGTAGACTGAGATCTGAGAATCCTGGTTTAAAGCCAGCCAGGCTGGCCTTGGTGCTGTCTCTCTAAGTTCCTTTGTGCCTAAGGCTAGTACTCTACCATAAGCCACAGCACCACTTTTCTGCACCAGCTGGCTTCAAGCCATGATCCTCACATCTCAGTCTCTTGAGTAGCTAGGATTACAGGCATGAATCACTAGCACCTGGCAATATACATGTTACATTTGTTTTGTTTTGCTGTTTTTCTGTTAGTTTTGGGACTTTTTTTTTTTTTTTTTTACTTCTCCTGAATTCGGACTGTCAGCTCTTCAGCTCAAGGCGAGTGCTCTACCACTTGAGCCACAGTACCACTTCTGGTTTTCTGAGTGGTTTATTGACTTTACTGCCTGGGCTGGCTTTGAACTGCAATCCTCAGATCCTAGCCCAGAGTAGCTAGGATTACAGGCGTGAGCCACCAGCACCCAACTTCCTGGAGCTTTTTAACTCAGGGCCTGGGTGCTGTCCCTGAGCCTCTTTGTGCTCAAGGCTAGCACTCTACTACTTGAGCCACAGTGTCACTTTCTCTACTGGTTTCTTTCAGCATCTTTAAGTTTTGTCACCCACAAAGTCAGATTTGCTAGTGCACATCTGTCATCCCAGCACTCTAGAGGCTGAGGCAGGAGGATCATGAGTTTGGGACCACCCTTGGTTAGATAGTAAGATCAAGTCTTGCTGGGTACTGGTGGTTCACACCTGTAATCCTAGCTACTCAGGAGGCTGAAATCTGAGGATCTTGGTTCAAAGCCAGCCCAGGCAGGAAAGTCTGTGAGACTTTTTTTTTTGGTCGTGGGGCTTGAACTCTGGGCGTGGGTGCTGTCCCTCAGCTCTACAGCTCAAAGCGAGCACTCTACCACTTGAGCCACAGCGCCACTTCCGGTTTTCTAGTGGTTTATTGGAGATAAGAGTCTCTCAGAGTTTCCTGCCCTAGCTGGCTTTGAACCTCGATCCTCACATCTGGGCCTCCTGAGTAGCTGGGATTACAGATGTGAACCACGGTTGCCTGGCTTGTGAGACTCTCAGCTCCAATTAACCTCCAACAAGCCAAAGGTGGTAGAGCACTAGCCTTGGACAAAAGAACCTCAGGGACAGCCCCCAGGATGGGCATAAAATAAATGAAAAAGACTAGAATGAAAGTTGAGGTGGTGGCTCATACCAATAATCCTATTTAACTTTGGAGGCTGAGATTTGAGAATCTTGAGTCTCTTGCCTTTAATAAACCATTGAAAGGCTAGAAGTGGATCTGGGGCTGAAAAGGTAGATGCTAGCTTTGAGTAAAAAGACTAAAGACAGCATTCAGGCCCCAAGTTCAAATCCCAATACCACCACCCACTTCCCTTTCCCCTCTCCCCCCCTCCCTCCAAAAAGGCTTAATCTCATTGTGTTGTGTAAGCTAGTCTCCTATACTGAAGCAATTCTTCTGCCTAGATTTTTTTTTTTTTTTGTCAGTCATGGGATTTGCACTCTGTGCCTGGGCGCTGTTCCTCAGCTCTTCAGCTCAAGACTAGCACTCTATCACTTGAGCCACAGAACCACTTCTGGTTTTCTGGTGGTTTATTGGACATAAGAGTTTCACAGGGGCTGGGAAGGTGGCTCAGTGGTAGCTTGCCTTATATGCATGAGGCCCTGGGTTCGATTCCTCAGCACCACATAAGCAGAAAAAGCTGGAAGTGGGGCTGAGGCTCAAGTGGTAGAGTGCTAGTCTACAGCTGAAGAGCTGAAGGACAGCACCCAGGCCCAGAGTTCAGGCCCCATGACCGACCAAAAAAAAAAAAAAGAGAGAGAGTTTCACGGACTTTCCTGCCTGTGCTGGCTTTGAACTGCGATCCTCAGGTCTCAGCCTCCTGAGTAAGCTAGGATTACATGCATGAGCCACCGGGGCCTGGCTTTAGGAAGATTTTGTAAGATACTTCAAGGAATTAATGTTATGTCTGCCAGTAAACTTCATCTCCCAAACCTAACAATGTCAATGAAATAAATCTGACCAAGCTGACCCTTTATCTCCCACAGTGGTTATCTCCATCAGAGGCAACTGAAAATTTCCTTTCCAAAAATGTTTGGTTGGCCTGTCCACAGTTCTATGAAATAAGAAGACTTGCAAACTTCACCTCCTTTTCTGCCTTACATAAATTTTGTTTGGATCATGCATTGGAGGAGCCTGAAACATGGATGCCCATCACACTGGAAACTGCTGACTCTACCATCAGGCTTTTTCCGGGTAAATAACAGAGCACCAGTAATTGTTATTGCTTTGATGCCAATACTGGGGCGTGAACCCAGGGTCTGGGCGATGACACTTAGCTTTTTTGCTCAAGGAGGTGCTCTACTTGAGCTATACCTCAGTTCTCGCTGTCTTACTTTTTGCTGTGGCTGGCTTTGGACTATAATCCTCATATCTCAACCTACAGAGTAGCTAGGGTTATAGGCATGAGCTAATGGCATTGGGTCAGTCATATATCTTTATGTGCCTAAAGAAAACACTTGGCTAGAAGGTAGAGATATGAAAAAGTCCAAGAAAGAAGTTGAACTTAGTGTTGTTTAACAAGTAATTCAGTTCCCAAATACACAAAATACATACAAATATTGGTTTATATGTCACTAAATATACTGGGATGGTGATATACAAAATAACATTTTATAAAGTCTGGATATTGGGGGTGGGAATGTCATTTAGCCTAGCATGCCTAGCATGCATGCAGCCTTCATAAACAGAAAAAGCTGGAAGTGGCACTGTGGTTCAAGTGGTAGAACACCATCCTTGAACAAAAGCAGCTCAGGGACTGTGCTCAGGCCCTGAGTTCAAGCCCCAGAACAGGCAAAAAAAAAGGCTGGATATGTGGCTTAAATTGTAGAGTCCTCACCTAACTTGAGGCCTGAAGTCTTGAGTTCAAACTTGACTGTGGGGAAATAGAATTTCAATTCTAAGGAATTAATGCTTTTTTTAAAAAAAAATTTATTTTTCAGGAGATGAACTGTATATAGAAGATTCATACTTTGTAGACAATTATATGTCTACTGATAAAACAACTGAAGAAATCATGAAAGAAGGCAAGAAATTTCACCGAATAGTAATACATAGTAACTATCTTTATAGCCTCCATGTGACTATCCAGCCAAAGTCTAAACATATTTATCCTAAGAACTACATAGTAAATAAAAGCCGTTTGTAGAGTGTTGCCTACTTCAGCTGTGCTAATAAACTTGATTGAAAAATTCTAAGGAACTCTATATCTACAAAAATTAGAATGTAGTTTCTTAATTTAGTTTATTGTGGTGCTTTCCTTATTCTTTCACCTGTAGTGTATCATGGGAGTAAAGTTTATAAAGTATTAATTTATGACCAGAATAAGAAAATAATCACAGTGGTTCCCACTTTTTTTTTCTTTCTTGTGCCAGTCCTGGGCTTGAACTCTTCTGAGTTTTTTGGCTCAAAGCTAGCACTACCACTGGAGCTTCAGCTCAACTTTCAGCTTCTTTGGTGGTTCATTGGAGATAAGAATCTGATGGACTTTACTTCCAGGGTTAGTTTCAAACTGTGATCCTTAGAGCTCAGTGAGTAACTAGGATTTATAGGGGTGAGCCACTGGCACCTGGTAACTTAATATTTTAAATATAAAGCCCTGTAAAAACCATTAACTTTTATGCTCTGAAGAGGCAGGTAATGAATAAGTAGAAGTTAGAATGGAACTAAATGAAGTTTATGTTTTCCAGATTAATCAAAAAATTTTCACTTCCATTAACTTTTTTTTTTTTAAGGTGGTCTCACTTAGGTAGCCCAGACTGGCTTCAAAATCCAAATATTCCTGCCTCAGGTTCCTGAGTGCTGGGATTACAGGCATGTACCACCATGACCATGTAGTTCATTGTTGGTACTGAAGGGGTTTAAACTAGCTAGGCTGGTACAATATTGCTGGCTACGCCCCTGTCCCTGGTTTTTCAATGGCTATTTTAAGGAGAGAGTCTCCCATTTCCACCCAGGCATGTGCCTGATCTTTGATCCCATATTGCTGGGATCCTGGGTACATGTCATCTTTCCTGTGAACATGGAATCTTGTGGATTTTTCTTCTTAAGCAGGGTTGGGACTGAGGTCCTTTGACCTTAGCTTCCCACATAGCTTGGGAAGACAGGTGTGAGCAGCTTCACCCAGCTTTCAGTTAAGAAGGGAATCTCTTGAGCTTTTAGGGCCAGGCTGTCCTTGACCCTTGGGCCTACTGATAACAGCCTCCCATACAGCTAAGTTTATAGATACAAACTACTTTGGAATAATGGCTTTGGAATAATTTCGTTGTCAAAGAAAGATGGGAAAAATTATGAATGTACTGATTCTATTTTAAGGTCTTTGGGTAAATTATATGTACAGTGAATTTATTTTTTCTTGAAATGTCTTGATTTTGCTACTAATAAAGATGATAAAATAAAACTTCTATGTATTTCTGATTAGCGGAATATATCTGGAGCAGTGGTTCTCAGCCTGGACACTGAGTTGGGGACTTTGGTTGTCTGGAAACTTAGTTGTCACAAAAATGGAAGAAATGCTACCACTACCTAGTGGAAGGAGGCCAGGGGTGCAGCTAAATAGCCTGCCACAGGTGAACCACCCATAGCAAAGGGGTGCTGGTGGCTCACACCTATTATCTTAGCTTCTCAGGAGGCTGAGATCTGGAGATTGAGGTTCGAAGGCGCCCTAGACAGACAGATTCAACGTTCTTATTTCTTTTTTTTTTTTTGGGTCCGGTCGTGGTGCCTGAACTCTGGGCCTGGGCACTGTCCCTCAGCTCTTCAGCTCAAGGCTAACACTCTACCACTTGAGCCACAGCGCCACTTCCGGCTTTTTTTTTTCGGCTTATGTGATGCTGAGGAATCGAACCCAGGGCCTGATGCATGCAAGGCAAGCGCTCTACCACTGAGCCACCTTCCCAGCCCATCAACGTTCTTATTTCTTAATGAACCAATAAAAAGCCAGAAGTGAAGCTATGGTTCAAATACCTTTGAGCAGAAATGCTAAGGGATAGCAGCCAGACGCTGAGTTCAAGCCCCTACAGCACAATATATATACTCATATATGTTGAGCTGGGAAGTTGTACTCATGTTCTTTGGGACTGGGGAACTCTGGCACTAGTTTGTTGTTCACTCACTTTCTAACAGGGTCTGAAGCTTCCAGGTGAGCTCATCTTTGCCATGTGCCTTGATTGGGTTCAAGGCCTTGTTAGCCCAATGTCAGCCGACAGGTGGACTTAACGTCTTCTACAGCTGTGCTGTCCTGAGGTGTACCCACAAATCTATACTACAGCCTGGCAAAGGCTTCAAGCACAGGTTATTTGCAAAACATGGTAACTGATGCTTACTTTTTTTTTTCTTTTGCTGGTATTGGGGCTTGAACTCCAGGCGGTGTTAAGATTCTCAGCTTTTTTTTTGCCCAAGACTGGCCCTTTACCACTTGAGCCACACCTCCACTTCTAGCTTTTTGCTGGCTAGTTGGAGATGAGACTCAGGGATTTGTCTGCCTAGGCTAGCTTTGAACCAGGATGTGCAAACTCCTTCTCGACCCTTCTGGTCATGCTCCGCCCGCCCTTTCCTATTATTCCAACCCCTTCCTGTAGTCTCAACCCCCCTCATGTTGCCACGCCCCTTCCAGTAATGACAGCCATTCCCCGCCCCTTCATAACACCACGCCCTTCCTGGAAATGTCAGCCATTCCCTGCCATCTCCACTCGTGTCATTCCCCGCCCCTTCGCTTCGCCACGCCCCCTCGCTTCGCCACACCCCTAGCTTCGCCACGCCCCTTCGCCTTGCCACGCCCCTTCCGGTTGCGCCCACCTCTTCCCTGCGGTTCCCTGGCTTTTCTGGGGCGCTCCACCCCGGCAGGCAGCGGGGCGGCGTGCCCGGCCGTTGTTGGGGCAGTTAACTCCACGTGCTTTCCCCAGGCCTCGACGCCTGCGCGGGCGTGGGTGGCGGGGTGGACCGTTGGGGACGCGGGCTGGGGGTGTCTACAGGCACGTGGTGCAGGCCGAGGCCGGGGGGTGGCGGTCAGGAGCCCGAGCGGGAGGAGCCCGAGCGGGAGGGCGGCGTCGGGTTGCAGGGCGGAGCACGTGGTCCCGGAGGAGGCATGGCGGCGGCGGCGTCCTCGGCCTGCGGCACGGCGTGCACGTGCCAGACTCTAGGACGAGGCCAGGCCCGAGTGTGGGTGGGCGCAGCCGGTGGACTGCCGGGAGCGGGCAGGGGCCGGGTGCTGGGGGTCATCCAGGGCGAGGGGCCGTGGGCCGCAGGCGCCTCGGTCAAGATGCTGGAGATCCTGGTGCTGAAGGTGAGTGGGGAGGGCAGGGAAAGGGGCGGACCCCGACGGGTGGCGGGGTGGGGGCTGGAGGTGCGGGGGGGCTGTGGGAAGGGGGCCCCCTGGGGATGGCAGGTGGGGAAGGGGAAGGGGGGGCGAGGGATGGCGGGGGTGGGGGCGGCTGGCGATCTGGCGCTGCGGTCGGGGAGAGGGACCGGGACCCCCGTGGAACGGGCTTGAGGGCCTTCTCAGGCGCAGAGTCTTGATTTCAGACAAGCCAGGAATGTGAGTTTGAGGGTGGACGAGCGATTTGGGGCCAATTCCCAGGTGATTTCTCAGAAATAGGAAGACAGCTGTGTCTTATGCCCAGGGATGAACGTTATTTCCTAAGCCTTCCTAATAGTTGACTCCAGCAGAGCACTGCCCGGACTCCTGTTCCAGGCCCCTCGGAACTTGACTCCTTGGGCAGGATGGAGGTGACTTGGGCCTTTCCCCAAACACACCCTTTCCCCAAGGTCTCTGCCCTACTGGTATCGTCCTACGTTTTGGAGGAAGGAGTTAAGATCTAGCAAAGAAGCTGGGGTGATTGGGAAACAGATGTGTCAATCCCTTTAAAAAAAAAATCACACTTCAGCCAGGTGCAGGTGGCTCAAGCCTGTAATCCTAGCTACTCAGGAGGCTGAGATCTGAGGATCGCAGTCGAAGCCAGCTCAGGCAAGAATGTCCATAAGACTCTTGTGTTTTTTGTTTGCTTGTTTGGTTAGTTTTTGTTTTTGTCTGTTGTGGGCCCTGAACTCTGGGCCTGGGCACTGTCCTTCAGCTCTTCTGCTCAAGGCAGCACTCTACCACTTGAGCCACAGCGCCACTTCCAGCTTTTTGTATTTATGTGGTGCTGAGGAATCGAACCCAGGGCCTCATGTATGGGAGGCAAGTACTCTACCACTGAGCCACTTCTCAACCGTCCCTCCCCCCCTTGAGACTTTCCAATGAACCACCAGAAAACCAGAAGTGACCCTGTGGCTCAAGTGGTAGAGTGCTAGCCTTGAGCTGAATAGCTGAGGGACAGTGCCCAGGCCCAGAGTTCAAGTCCCAGGACCAACCAAAAAAAAATCACACTTTAATACTGACCATCTGTGCTCCACACCTTGAGACAATATTCTGAGGCCATCCTGCATTGAGATTCTTCTTTTTACATTTATATATAGCTGGGACAATGGATGTGTGCCACCACACCTAGCTTCTTATTGGTGAAGATAGTGTCTTGTTAATTAGCTGTGTTTACAGGCATGACCTATAATGCCAGGCAGTCAATGATTTTTATTTATTTTTTTGTCAGTCGTGGAGCTTGAACTCTGGGCCTGGCCACTGTCCCTCAGCTCTTCAGCTCAAGGCTAGTGCTGTACCACTTGAGCCACAGCGCCACTTCCTGCTTTTTCTGCTTATGTGGTGCTGAGGAATTGGACCCAAGGCCTCATGCATGCAAGGCAAGCACTCTACCACTGAGCCACCTTCCCAGCCCCTAATCAATAATTTTTTATATTTTTTATTGTAAAAATACTGTACAGAGGTCAATAATTTTTTTCAAAAATACTTTTAATTTTAACTTTTATATATTCACTTCTAACAATGAATATTTTGGTTTCTAATAACAGTAATACATAACAAGCTACATTCAGGGAATTCTAACTTTTTCCTCTGTTCACCATTTCTTTTTCCCATAGATAATAATTCATAAGTATTTTGGTGTATCTGCCAAAATTTTAATATTAGCAGATTATATATATATATATATATTTTTTTTTTTTTTTTTGTCGGTCATGGGGCCTGAACTCTGGGCCTGAGCACTGTCCCTCAGCTCTTCAGCTCAAGGCTAGCGCCCTACCACTTGAGCCAAAGCGCCACTTCCAGCTTTTTCTGCTTATGTGGTGCTGAGGAATCGAACCCAGGGCCTCATGCATGCAAGGCAAGCACTCTACCACTGAGCCACCTTCCCAGCCCCTATATATATATATTTATTTCCCCTTAATTAAAATATTCTGAACCTTTTATATATTAATATATTTTTTCCTAATACAGAAGAACAAGGACATCTGCTTTTCGAGTTATAAGACATATTTGAGAATTACGCATCATTCCTTAAAATGCTTTAGAATATTACCTTTGACAAGGGGGACTGTCAATTCATTTGGCCAGACACTGGTAGCTCACACCTATAATCCTTGCTACTCAGGAAACTGAGGTCTGAGGATTGTGGTTTGAAGCCATCCCAGGCAGGAAAGTTTGTGAGATTCTTATGTCTAGCTGACCAGTAAAAAGCCAGAAGTAGAATTGTGGCTCAAGTGGTAGAGTGCTACTCTTGAAAAAAAGGTGATGGCCCAGGTCTGGCATAAAACAATTTGTTTTATGAGAGGTAAGCCACAGGCTTTCTTAGGGTACAGACCTGCTGGGCTGCTCCAAGCAGGAAAGGAGGTAGCACTTCTAAATTGAGATTGAACTGCTCCTGCTACATTTACAAGACAAAAAAGACTAGGCTTATGCCCACCCCCATCCATGCCACACAGGCCTTGGAGGTACAGGGGTGAAGGTTAACAGAGAGAGTTTGCTTAGAGAGAGAGACAGAGGATGAGCAAGGAGAACCAAGAAAGCCTGAACATATGGAAACTTCGACCATTTACCATTGTGTTGGTAGGAATTGTCCAGCTCTGCGAGTATTGTAATGTGGCCAGACTTGATTGTATAGTAAAGAGTCTTTTTGGCTTTTAAGTATGTAAAGGGAGTCTGTGAGCATGTAGAGGGGGAGGAGGCCACAGAAGGAAGGAGTCCCCGATGAGGGGTGTTGGGGCTTTCCTCAAGCTTTAGTTGTTTTTTTTTTCTCATATTGGGGGAGGACTGAGAAATAAAATAGGAATGGAAGAGAGCCATGCCCATGGGAATGGATTCAATGTGGGTGAAGCGCTGGAGGGTGTCTGCCACACAGCTCAGAAATTTACTGGGAGTCTTGTTGGGACACTGAATTACCTCCCTCAATTTGTCATAGTTGGACAGACTTGCAAGCAGTCCAGTCCAGTCTATAGAAGAGGTAGAGGGCCATGTCATCCCTAAGAATCAGATGGGGGTGATCAGGCTGGTAATTTCACCCTGGGTTGGAGTGAGGTACAGCTTCCTGATCAACAGATTTTAGATTAAGGTATTTAAACTTCTATTTGGGACAGGTCAGAGAGGGAGAAAGGAATGTGAACATGAACAATGCCTTTAGAGCCAGCCATCTCCTGAAAGGGAAAGAGGTGGGCTGGTGTCACCACAGATGATTGATGGGCAGTGCAGTAATGGGTGTGAGGTAGAGAGAGAGAGATGGCAGAGAGAAAGGGGTGGCAGGAATAGAAGAAGGTGGGGGTTGGTAGAGTGTAAGAGAGGGAGGAGGAGCTCAAGATGAGGAGTTGGTTGGGGAATGTGGAGGAGGGCAGTGGTCAGTGGGGTTTGAACAGCAAGTCTGCATCAGGGAGAAGGGGTGTGAGGAAGTGTAGGTCGTGAATGAGCTCAAAGGATTTAAAGAGTACTACAGGATTCGCAAAGAGAGGGATGAGATCAGAAATAGGAAAAACAAAACAAAACACCGAGTATAAGGGATTTTTTGCCACGTCAATGACAGAAGTTATCCAGGTCTGTGAGGATATTAAAGGATATCAAGACCCATTGTCCAATTGATATCGAAGCCATGCCACATTACAATAGAAAATGAGTCACTTGGGTTTATTAATGTCCAAGGGACCCTGTTCATGGAGATTAGCCAAGAGACAGCCCAAAGGGTGTTTTGAGGCAGTTTAGATTGAGAGGTCCCCATTTTAAGCGGTGGATGGCAATTGAGATCCTGGTAGAGGAATTTTCTGTCGCTCTGGCATCCTTGGGAGCACAGAAGAATTCCTAGTAGAGTTAAGACAATGGCGCAAGGTGTCATTACCCAGTGAGACAAGTCAACCGAGCATTTCCTGGCCAGGCACCTGGTCTTTGGAGAATGGAGTGAAAGTTGGCAGGGAGGTGCGTAGAAACAGGAGGTCAGTGCTCACCCTTGCAGATCTAATCATGAGCATGCAGAAGTCTGAGGAGGTGTTTGGGAGGAGGGCCAGGGGCCAATCAACCCCTATAGTGGGATCATCCAAACCCAAACTATTGCTGGGTTTCAGCACCAGGAGGTAAGTAATGAGAAGCGAGCAACCTATACTGGCTCAAGGCTTTATTGGGTGACAGACCTGCTGGGCTGCTCCAAGCAGGAATGGAAGCAGCAGCAGTAGACATGGGTGAGTGGAATTTAAACAGAATTTTAGGGGCCAGTCACATGGGTCACATTACATGGACTATGGGAGTAGGGCCAATTCCAAGAAGAAGTATGTGGACTATAGGAATTGGGGGAGAGTCAGAACAATGTAGATTGTAGCAACTAGGGTAGGACTTTGTACATCACACCAGGAAAACAATATATGGGGAAATAGAAATTTAACAGATTTTTGCCAACAGGGGACCCAGGGTAGGGACTTAATCAGCAAGCTGACTCTGAGACTTTAGAGGGCTTTTTTTTGTTTGTTTTGCCAGTCCTGGAGCCTGAACTCTGGGCCTGGGCGCTGTCCCTCAGCTCTTCAGCTCAAGGCTAGCGCTCTACCACTTGAGCCATAGCGCCACTTCCGGCTTTTTTTTTCTTTTTGCTTATGTGGTGCTGAGGAATCGAACCCAGGGCTTTGAGCATGCAAGGCAAGCACTCTACCACTGAGCCACCTTCCCAGCCCCCAGACTTTAGAGTTTTGATCACTGGACTTAAGAGTTTTGTCATTCTAAGGTTTATTATTTCATAATTTCACTGTTAAATCATGCATTATTTTCATTTTAAACACTTTACAGGTTGAAGATCCAGGTTGTTTCTGGGTTATTATCAAAGGATCTGGGAACTTTTCAGATAATGAAGTCGACTATCAGAAATTAAATAGCGCCATGAATGATTTCTATGACCACATGTGTCAGGATATAGAAATAAAACCATTGATCTTGGAAGAAGGACAGGTATGAATCTGATTGTGATTTAGTCACTGTTTCTTTACAGTTAGTTGTTATTTGAGACAGGGTCTTACTGTGTAGTTCTGGCTGACATTGAAATTGAGATTCTTCTGATTCATCCTTTCAAGTCCTTATACTACAAACACGCATCACCTTGCCTGGTAATAACGGCCTTGAAACACTATTCAAAACGTAGAATATTGTGCACTTAAGATGAAGAAAGTGCTGGGTGCTGTTGGCTTAGGTCTGTAATCGCAAGAGGCTGAGATCTGAGGAACAGGATTCAAAGCCAGTCTGGGCAGAAAAGGCTGTAAGACTCATATTTCCAATGAACCACCAGAAAAACTGGAAGTGGATCTGTGGTTCAAAGTCATAGAATGCTAGCCTTGAGCGAAAGAGTTCAGGGATTGTGCCTAGACCTTGAGTTCAAGCCTCATGACCATCAACAACAAAAAAAGATGAAAGTTTTTCGAATATTTAGTCGCTTTTAATCATTACTTTGGAGCTAGGTTCTTAGACTGTTTTAAGATTCAAAATAGAGGGGCTGGAAAGGTGGCTCAGTGGTAGAGTGCTTGTCTTGCATGTATGAGGCCCTGGGTTTGATTCCTTAGCACCACATAAGCAAAAAGAAAAAAGCTGGAAGTGGTGCTGTGGCTCAAGCGGTAGAGTGCTAGCCTTGAGCTGAAGAGCTGAGGGACAGTGCCGAGGCCCAGAGTTCAGACCCCACGACCGGACCAAAAAAAAAAAAAAAAGATTCAGAATAGTTTGTGGAAAGTGCTTTTTTGTTCAGGGCTATATTTCACCACTTAAGCCATAGTTCGACATCTGTTTTTTTTTGATGGCTAACTATAGACAAGAGTCTCATTACTTCCTGCCTGGGTGCTTCCAGCCATATTGAGCTCTTGTTAGACCCCAGCTCTGGGCTTCCAAAGTGTTGTGGGTTTTTTTTTTTGTTTCTTTTGTTTTGTGTCAGCCATGGGGCTTGAACTCTGGCGCTGTCCCTCAGCTGTTCAGCTCAAGGCGAATGTTCTACCTCTTGAGCCACAGCTCCACTTCCGGTTTTCTGGTGGTTGATTGGAGATAAGAGTCTCAGGGACTTTCCTGCCCAGGCTGCCTTTGAACCATGATCCTCACATCTTATTCTCCAGAGTAGCTAGGATTACAGGCGTGAGCCACTGGCGCTAGCTCCAAAGCAGTTTGTTTGTTTGTTTGTTTTTGGTCGGTTGTGGGGCTTGAACTCTAGGCATGGGTGTTATCTTTCTACTGCTTGAGCCACAGCACCACTTCCAGTTTTCTAGTGGTTTATTGGAGATAAGAGTCTCATGGACTTCCCTTGCCCGGGCTGGCTTTGAACTGTGATCCTCAGATCTCAACCTCCTGAGTAGCTAGGATTACAGACATGAGCCACTGGCGCCTGGCCCCAAAGCAGTTTTGAAAGAAACTTTTAGTTCTCTCATTATGACTATAGAGATTTTTACATTGACCGTAGAAAAGAAAGCTTTACTTTTCCTCTTTTAGGTTTGCGTGGTCTACTGTCAGGAGCTGAAGTGCTGGTGCAGGGCCATTATTAAGTCAATAATTTCTTCAACAGACCATTATCTGGCAGAGTGCTTCCTTGTGGATTTTGCCAAGTTTATACCAGTAAAATCTAAAAAGTATGTATGTATTTATGTTGCCTTCCACTCTGTAAATGTTGTTTTGTACTGTGGTTTGAACTTGGCTTCATGCTTGTAAGCTGGCTCTCTACTACTTGAGTCATGCTACTAGCTTAAATGTTGTGTTGTGTGCGTGTATGAATGTATGCATACATGCATGAACTGGAGCTTGAATTCAGGGCCTCATACTCTTGCTTCCTTGTTTTTATTTTTCTCCTTAAGGCTGATGCTCTACCTCTAGGTACACTTCCACTTCTGGCTTTTTGCTGGTTAATTGGAGATAAGTCTCATGGACTTTAGTGCCCTGGCTGGCTTTGAACCATGAACCTTAACATATTAGCTCTCTGAGTAGCTCAGATTACAAATGTGGGCCACCAGCCACCTGGCTTTCTGTGTGTTTTTACATTAAATATATTAATAATATAGGTATAGTTAAATGAATTTGTGTCTAATTTTTGTTTATAATAATCTTATAATAATCTTTTCTGCCTTTTAAGTATCAGAGTTGCAGTAGAATCTTTCATGAAGCTTCCATATAGAGCCAAAAAGTTCAGACTTTACTGCACAAAACCTGTTACATTGCACATTGACCTCTGTGAAGACAGTGCACAAATTGTGTAAGTATTGCTTTTTGACTTGGTGAACCCTGAGAAGTGTGTGGTGTTCATTTGAAACCACTTGCTCTGTACAAGGTCTGAACTGACAATTGGCCTGTCTTTTGTAGGAGGCAGGAGGTGAATTCTGGGTCTGTGGGTGTCAAACTTGCCCCTGGGCCATGGGATACCTGAGCAACCCTATTACTGGAGGAGAACTGAGTTCTGTGCTTTTGTCTGTTTTTTAAATTTGCAAAAAGTAGTGAATTCACTGTAAAGAAAACCATAAGACGTAAGTTCATAGATCATAAAAAAAAACAGCCAAGCACAGTAGCCAGCACTAGTAGTCCCAGCTGTGTGGGTGTCTCTTGGGCATAGGAAACCCTGACCAAATCAGGAAACATAGACTGTTTCCTCCCCACCCCACCTCCCAAAAAAGAATGAATGTTGATTGCATTCCTCTCTAGCCCCATGCCACCCTCATAAGAGGCCGTGTGGTCTTACCAAGACTGAACTTCCAGCTGGGTACTGGTAGCTCACACTTGTAACCCTAGTTACTCAGGAGGCTGAGATTTGAGAATTGCATTTTGAAGCCAACCCAGGTAAGAAAGTCTATGAGAACCATTTTTGTTGTTGGTGGTGGTGGTGATCATGTGGCCACTTCCGGTTTTCTAGTGGTTTATTGGAGATAAGAATCTCATGGACTTGCCTGCCCAGGCTGGCTTTGAACCATGATCCTCAGATCTCCTCAGTCTTCTGAGTAGTTAGGATTACAGGCGTGAGCCACAGGTGCCCAGCCCGTTTTTTTTGGTTTTGTTTTTTTTTTAGTTTGTTTTCAGGTAAAGTCTCACACTGACTTGGCTAGGATTGTGATCTTACTGTTTCCATCTCCCAACTAGCTGGAATTATAGGCTTGTGCCATTTTGCCCAGCTGTGGAGCGTTTCATGAAAACTTTGTAATACTATTTCATTTGTAAAATTAGTTTACAAAGCTATATTGAAGCCATTTACCAATATGTGTACCTTTCCTTTTAGTTTTTTAGTGTTTTTCATGGTTGTAGTTTTCATACTTTAGTTCTGGACACTTGGTAACTCCGGGGACAGTGTTCTTGCTGGGTCATGTCAGCAGGGTTTGTGTGTCTCGAGTCTCTGCAGTGCGAGAGTCTTCCCCCACAGAGCAGCCCTGAGCATACTGTCTGCTAACCGGCTCATGACTCTGCTAGGGAATAGCAGAGACACCCAGTGTCTTGTCTGCCAGATGATGTTAGTGCACTAGCCAGGAATTTTATTGAATAAAGTTGCGTTGCGTCTGTCTACTGTTTCAGCCCTGCCAAGAAGTGGGACAGTGCAGCTATTCAGTACTTCCAGAGTGTTCTAAGAGGTAAGACCAGCTGTGTTCACTACTGCCTACTTTGACCTGACACCCATTGTGGGCTTCCTATCTGCTGGCAAGAAGTTTAGGATGTACCAGCTGAGATTTTTATCTGTCAGACTCTTACCTGAGTCTTTACACCCTCCTCCTAATGGCTCCATGTTTCTTAGAGCCACTTCCATGCTAAGTATTACAGTCCCTGTGTTCTTGCTACTACAGGTAGATCTGGACACCAGTCATTGTCAGCTGAAATCAGAAAAGTTGTGTTAAATTTGTATAGTCTGGTTATGTAAAAGGAACCCTATGTAGTAATAACCCTTGTCTCTTAGCTTAAAAGGTAGCTGGGAAGGTGGCTTAGTGGTAGAGTGCTTGCCTAGCATGCATGAAGCTCTGGGTTCAATTCCTCACTACCACATAAACAGAAAAGGCTGGAAGTGGCGCTGTGGCTCAAGTGGTAGAGTGCTAGCCTTGAGCAGAAGCTCAGGGACAGTACTTAGGCCCTGAGTTCAAGCCCAGGACTGGCAAAAAAAAAAAAAAAGCTTAAAGGGGCCAGGTGTCTCACACCTGAAATTCTAGCTCCTTAGGAGACTGAGATCTGAACACTGAGGTTCAAAGCCAATCGAGGCAGGAAAGTCTGTGAGACTCTTGATCTCCAGTTAACCAGCAAGAAGCCAAAAGTGGAGCTGTGGCTCAAGTGATCTAGCACCAGCCTCGTGCAAAAAAGCTAAAGGATAATACCCAAGCCTTGAGTTCAAGACCCAACCTTGAGTTCAAGACCCAATAGCAGTGTGCATGCGTGTGTGTGTGTGTGTGTGTGTGTGTGTGTGTGTATGTGTATACTCACACACAAATCTAAAAGGATGCAGATATGTGTATTAAGGCAAGAGTCAAGAAAAAGCCTAGTTTCTTTTTGTAGGGAAAAGCAGATGCTATGAGCTGGGAAGTGGTGGTCAGGATTGGGGTTGAGCTCTTTTGAGACCATCACAGGTGAGGAAGAGGCCGGTGGCCTGAGGTCAGGTTCTGCCTGCCCCTTTCTGTGTAGGCTCACCACCAGTTCTTGCCTGGAGCACTGCGATGATGGTGAAGCACAGAGAGGCGTACAAAGGGCTCGGTGCAGTGTGCGGCAGTCCACTTAGCAGAGCCGCTGTTTGGTCATTAGGTGACCAATAGGTCACTCTTGCTGGCACATTGAGGGCAAAGGGGCACTCAGTGGAAACAGTATGCCCGAGAATTTGGATTTGAGTGTCGCCGGGGAAGAAGAGAAGACCCCAGTGTTGAGGCATTTATAGAGTAGTAGTAGAGATGCTGCTGATGGACAAAAAGTGGAGGCTTACTCCAGTTAGGAGAGTTGTTTCCATGGCTTGTCCACTCCATCTGCCCTCTGCTGAGAGCCTGTCCTGCTCACAGTCGTTGCTGGCCTTTTTGGTGCGGGTGAATACATAGTTAGCAGAGATTGAGTAGTTGGAAATCATCATGATGCCATAGTGTGTATATGCACATATATGTGTGTTGAGGTTTGAACTTGGCCTTTCAGCTTTTTCCATTACTGCTGGCACTGTTATCAGCTACGCCATGCCTCCAGCCTGGCATTTAGCTAGTTATTTTGGAGCTAGAGTCTAGGGGAGTTTTTTGCCTAGGTTGACCCCAAACTGTGATCCTCCAGATCTCAGCTTTCTGAGTAGTTAGGATTACAGATGTTAGACTGCAGTGCCTGGCCTCAATTACGTTTTTAATATAAGCTCATTTGTGCTTTCATTTAGCAGCTACTCAGGTTGAGGCCAAATTATGTGCTGTGGAAGAAGATGCTTTCGAGGTTTACCTCTATGCAACAATAAAAAATGAAAAGGTGAGATCCTTGTATTTTTTAAATATTAAAATTACTTGAGGTTTTACTTTAATGAACAGAAAGTTCACACATGATAGAAATCTTTTTTTTTTTTTTTTTTGTCGGTCATGGGACCTGAAGTCTGAGCCTGGGTGCTGTCCCTCAGCTCTTCAGCTCAAAGCTAGCACTCTACTGCTTGAGCCACAGTATCACTTCAGCTTTTTCTGTTTGTTTGGTGCTGAGGAATTGAACCAGGGCCTCATGCATGGGAGGCAAGCACTCTACCATTGAGCCACCTTCCCAGCCCTAGAAATATCTTAATCTTTCAAGGTCTGGCTTACAAATTAGCCAGTTTCTTCTTTGAACTTATTTATTTGTTGTGCTGGCAGATGAAACCAGGGCCTATCACACATTAGGAAAAGGTTCTAACACTGAACTACACTTCCTCTTTTGATTACTTAAAACAATTACTTCAGCATTCATTAAGATAGCTCACACTTTTATCCTGGCTACTCAAGAGGCAGAGGGATGGAAGATTATGGTTCAAGGCCAGTCTGGGCTAAAGTTAGCAACATTTCATCTCAACCAAAAAAGCTGGGCACTAGGTATATGAGAGATGTGAATAGAAGGATCTTGGTATATGATGGCCCCAGGCAAAAACTCTTATCTGGAAACTAAAAGTAAAAAGGAGTAGGGGCTGGCTCAAGTGGTAGTATGCCTGTCTAGCAAGCATAATGCCTTATTCAAACCTAGTACTACTGCTGGGCGCCAATGGCTCACACCTATAATCCTGGCTACTCAGGAGGCTGAGATCTGAGGATCATGGTTCAAAGCCAGCCAGGGCAGGAAACTCCATGAGACTTATCTCCAATAAAGCACTAGAAAACTGGAAGTGTCTCTGTAGCTCAAGCAGTAGAGTGCTCGGCTTGAGCTGAAGAGCACAGGGACAGTGCCCAAACCCAGAGTTCAAGCCCCATGACCGACAGAAAAAAACAAAAAACAAAAAATGTAGTACTACCTAAAAATATTTTGTAATGGGACTGGGAAGGTGGCTCAGTGGTAGAGCGCTTGCCTTGCATGCCTGAGGCCCTGGGTTCAATTCCCCAGCATCACATAAGCAAAAAGAAAAAAGCCGGAAGTTGTGCTGTGGCTCAAGTGGTAGAGTGCTAGCTTTGAGCTGAAGAGCTGAGGGACAGCGCCCAGGTCCAGAGTTCAGGCCCCACGACCGGACCCCCCACCCCCCAAAAAAAAATTTGTATTGGACAAGAATATGTAACTATAGTGATGTTTGTAAAATGTTAAGACTTTTTTTGTAAATACTTTCATTTGCTATAGTGTTAGTGCTGTTTTTAACCCCTAGATTTTCTTGTATGTAATTTGTATTATAAAGCATTCAGATATCAACTGTGTGCTGTAGCTCTTGCCCTGTGAGATGGATTTCAGGACGATTTCTCAGTTCAGCAAAGTTTCAAGTTTGATAAAATATAATTTAGTAGTTTCTCTTTTTTTGGGGGGGGGTCCGGTCATGGGGCCTGAACTCTGGGCCTGGGCGCTGTCCCCCAGCTCTTCAGCTCAAGGCTAGCGTTCTACTACTTAAGCCACAGCGCCACTTCTGGCTTTTTTCTTTTTGCTTATGTGGTGCTGAGGAATTGAACCCAGGGCCTCAGGCATGCAAGGCAAATGCTCTACCACTGAGCCACCTTCCCAGCCCTAGTAGTTTCTCTTTTATCATTAGTGATCTCCCTCCTAGCAGATCTCTGCCAGCCAGGTCGCTTTAGCTTTCCATTAGTCTTTCATTCAGACTCTTGCTATTTTCTTGACAAGCAGCTGGTAAGACGTATTTAGTTGACCAATACTAGACTGGAGACAAGATATGTTTCTATCAAATCATATCATGTAAAACAATTTTTCTGAAAATAGAGTTCTAGCTAAGTTTGGTACACTTGCCAGTCCCCTGACTACACTTGTCCTGTTATCTCTGAAATGTTTCACATTTTACAGGTTTGTGTGAATGATGACTTGGTGGCAAAGAACTTTGCTTATTACGTGTCACCTATGCAGAATAAAAAGCGTGATTCTTTGGAGAAACCAGCACTCAGTATAAAGTCCACATCCCTTTCCAATCCAGCGTTTACTCTGTGGCCAATGCTTTGGCAAGGAAAAGACTTTCAGGCAATGAAGAGTGAGTGGGTCACCATTGTCTTAACTTCTTGCCCTGGTACATGGACAGAAGTGGTTGCCAAGCCCTTCCCTATTCCAAGCCCTAAGTGGTGTTTAATGATCCCTTGGATTCTAATGAGCCTGTGACAGGTTTTGAGATTCTAAAGCTGCTACAATTTGTCTTTATGAAGCCAGGGGAAAAAAATCAATTTCCTATTAATATTGAGTTACATTTTCAAGCAGTCCAAATGTTTAGAGTTTAAAGATAATTTAAGAGAATATAGTTTTGAATATTTACAGTTTTAAGCACTCTTTAGAGCTATTGATAGCAAATGATACTTAACATAAAAATATGAGAAGAGTTAGTCAGGGACTGTGGAAAGAAATTTACACTGTTCTTTCCTATTTTAGATTTTAGCTTCCTTGTTAGGTCTCTTCTGTACGCTAAGGCAAGAGTAGGGGTAGTAAACCAGCCAGCTTAAATTTTTGTTTTAGTTCCATCTTAGGTTTTAACTTTGGAGTTGATTCTTTTCAGATTCACATGGTCTCAATTTTCTGGCACAATCTCTCCCACATTCATGGTGCAAGGATGTTGCTGGTGAGCGAGGGCCAACTGCTGTGATGCTGGGTGAGTCCTACATCTTTGGTTTATTTTCCAAGCAGCAGACAATAATGCTGTATGTATAGTATGAGCAGGTGTGCACATACGTGCACACACACATACACACATACATCTAGGGTGTGGTCATGCTTCACCTCTCAAACCAGCCATGGAACCATCTAAAGAATATAAATATTGCTTAGAAGGGCTTATTCCTGCCTTTAAAAAAATTTAATGGCCTGGCTCCGGTGGCTCTCGCCTGTAATCCTAGCTACTTAGGAGGCTGAGATCTGAGGATCATGGTTCAAAGCCAGCCAGGGCAGAAAAGTCCATGAGACTCTTGTCTCCAATAAACCACTAGAAAACCAGAAGTGGCGCTGTGGCTCAAGTGGTAGAGCGTTCACCTTGAGCTGAAGAGTGCTGGGACAGTGCCCAAGCCCAGAGTTCAAGCCCCACGACTGACCAAAAAAAAAAAAAAATTAAGGAAGGGCTGGGAAGGTGGCTCAGTGGTAGAGTGCTTGCCTCGCATGCATGAGGCCCTAGGTTTGATTTTTCAGCACCACATAAACAGAAAAAGACAGAAGTGGTGCTGTGGCTCAAGAGGTATGGCACTAGCTTTGAGCTGAAGAGTTGAGGGACAGCGCCCAGGCCCAGAGTTCAAGCCCCAGGACTGATTTAAAAAAAAATCAATGAAATCAGTTTATGCTAACAGTGATTATCCTGTAGTTTGTACTTAATATTTGACTATAATGTGAAGAACTTAGGTGCTGGTTCTCGAATTTGTAATCCTACCTATTCAGGAGGCTAAGAACTGGAAGATTGTGATTTCTGCCAGAATAGGCAGAAAAATCCTCAAGACTCCCATCTCCCATTAACCAGTAAAATGTTGGTCTAGAGGTGTGGCTCAAATGGTAGTATACCAAGTATGAACAAGAGAGCTAAGTGAGAATGAGAGGCTCTGATGCAAGCATACACAAAAAGGACACAAAAGGCACTGCACACCTGTCAACCCACCTACTTGGGAGGTGGAGGCAGAAGAATGGCATGCTTGTGGCCAGTCTGGACAACCTGGCAATGTCTTGTCTTAGAATAAAAGTATGAGCCAGGTGCTGATGGCTCATAGCTCTTTTGTTTGAGCTATACTCTTGGTTCTCTTATTGTTGAATTTTAAAGGTTCTTGTATTTTTTGGTTAATAATTTTTTTTCAGATTTTTTTGGGGGAAGGGGCGGTGCTGAGACTTGAACTCGGGGCCTAGGTGCTGTCCCCAAGCTGCTTTTTGCTAAAGGCTAGCTAGCACTCTACCACTTGAGCCGTGATGCCACTTCTGACTATTTCACAGTAGTTTATTGGAGATAAGGGTCTCATACCTAAAATATACCTGGAACTCAAAAATTTAAATCCCCCAACATCAAATCCTCAAAGAAACAACTGCCCAATAAATAAGTGGGCTAAAGAGAAACTTCTCTGAAGAGGAAAGAAGGATGGCCAATAGACACATGAAGAAATGCTCAACCTCTCTAGCCATAAAAGAAATGTATATCAAAACAACATTGAGCTACCACCTCACCCAAGTTAAATGGCTATAATCAAGAACTCTAATTAAACAATAGATGCTGGAGGGGATGTGTACAGAAGGGAACCCTACTGCATTGTTGGTGGCAATATAAACTTGTTCAACCACTTTGGAAAGTAGTATGGAGGGGGCTGGGAAGGTAGCTCAGTGGTAGAGCACTTGCCTTGCATGCATGAGGCCCTGGGTTCAATTCCTCAGCACCACATAAGCAAAAAGAAAAAAGCCGGAAGCGGTGCTGTGGCTCAAGTGTTAGAGTGCTAGCCTTGAGCTGAAGAGCTGAGGGACAGAGCCCAAGCCCAGAGTTCAGGCCCCACAACCAGACCCCCCAAAAAAAAAGTATTATGGAGGTTCCTCAAAAGACTCCACATAGAGCTTCCCTATGACCCAGAAATCCCACTTTTGGGCATTTACCCCAATGATCACCAACAAGACCATACTAAAGCTACCAGCATTATTGCATCATTATTTACTATAGCTAAGATATGGAACCAACCCAGATGCCCCTCAGTAGATGAATGGATGAAGAAAATGTGGTATATATACCATATTCTATGCCTCCATCATAAAGAATGACATCGCCCCATTTGTTAGGAAAAGGAAAGACTTGGAAAAAAATATATTAAGTGAAGTAAGCCAGGCCCAAAGAAACATAGGTCCCATGCAATAACTAGTATTTGCAATAACTAGTATATGTCTGAGACAAGCAGAAGTGGTCAGATAAGTTGATAAGCAAAATGATCCCCAGGTTAAGGACTCAAATGTTTTTCCTTTGTTGCTATTGTTTCTAATATATTAGATGATTTCTTTGTTGCTTTGTATGTCCCTCCCCCATGGTATAACCCCTGTTTTCACTGTATTTGATGTTGGTATAATTTGTGGAGGGGAAGGAAAAAACAAATTGTTTAAATAGGGATACTGGTGGACCCATTGCAACAATGAGATGTACAAGTCGTTATGTTGAAAAACGAACTTTACAACTTTGGCAGGGGGTAGGGGGAATGTGGGGGTGGGAGATGGGAAGGGATGGGAAGGAGAAACAAAGGAGGAGACAACAATACTTGATAAGAAATATACTCATTACCTTGCCCATGTAATTGTAACCCCTCTGTACGGTATTTTCACACACACACACAAAAAAAGAGTCTCATAGACTTTTCTGCCCAGGCTGGCTTCTGTGATCTGAGTAGCTAGGATTGCAGGTGTGAGCCATCAACACCTAGCCACATTTGTCTTTTACAAATATTTCTTCTAGTCTATGGCTTGTCTTCTCATTTGTTTGACGGTATCTTTGCATGCATGCTTGGCTTTTTTTTTTTTGCCAGTCGTGGGGCCTGAACTCTGGGCCTGGGCGCTGGCCCACAGCTCTTTAGCTCAAAGCTAGCGCTCTACCACTTGAGCCACAGCTCCATTTCTGGCTTTTTTTGCTTATGTGGTGCTGAGGAATCGAACCCAAAGCTTCATGCATGCGAGGCAAGCACTCTATCACTGAGCCACCTTCCCAGCCCCATATGGTTGCATTTGATGTGCCAGTGTTTTGTCAAAAAAGTTTCACATCTGTGCTCATGGCAGGGTTAGTCTGAGTTTCTTCTATTGTCTTTTTCTAGTTTGAGTATTGATTAGTTAATCCTACTTTCATAGAACAAATCAGGAAATATCCTACTCCATCTTTTGGAAAACCATGGAAAATTGCTACATTTTTTTCTTTTTTTTTTTTTGGGTCCAGTCGTGGGGCCTGAACTCTGGGCCTGGACGCTGTCCCTCAGCTCTTCAGCTCAAGGCTAGCGCTCTACCACCTGAGCCACAGTGCCACTTCTGGCTTTTTTCTTTTTGCTTATGTGGTGCTGAGGAATCGAACCCAGGGTCTCATGCATGCAAGGCAAGCGCTCTACCACTGAGCTACCTTCCCAGCCCCTACATTTTTTTCTTTAGTGTTAGGTTGAACTTACCAGTGAACCCACCTGGACCTGTTTTGGAAGGTTGTGAATTATTGGTTCTGATTTTACAAAACATCTTGTCTTACCTAGATTGTCCATTTCATCCTGTGAGAGTTTTAGCAGATTGTATCTGGAATTAGTGATCTCATCAAGTCGATTGACTCCTTGAGCATAGTTGAAAAAAAAAAAAAAAAGATCACCAGTGGCTCCAAGCCAGCCTAAGCAGACAAATATGTGAGTCTGTTATCTATGCAGCAAAGAGTCCATGAGACACTTATTTCCACTTAACCACCCAAAAGCTTGAAGGTATAGCTCAAATGGTAACTAACCTTGGGGTTGCAGGGAAAGCTCAGGAACAGCGCCTTGTCCCTGAGTTCAAGATTCAGGACTGGCAAATACACAAAAGTCCAAAGTGGAGGCATGGCTCAGAATGGTAGAGCCCCCCAGTGTTGAGCAAAAATGCTAAGGGAGAGGGTAATGGCTTGAATTCAAGCTTCAGTATCTGCACAGAAAAGGAGAGGGGGTAATCACAGTTGAGGTTCTGAATCCATGACTGACATAATTCTAGTTGGCAATCAGTTATATTCTTTGTAGCACACAGCTCCCCCCATGCAGGGGTGAGAACCTGTGACCATCTTGTAGTGTTGTGTGTAGTCAGCAGCTGAGAACAGATACCACAGGAGCCCTTCTCTAGGGGCTGTCACCCAGAGCACCCACAGCAGCCATTCACTGAGGCTGCTTGGGTTCCTCACAGCACAACACAGTGTGCACTGGAGAGAGCAGGTTGTGCACATGGCATATTTGTGACCTGTAGCAGCACTTGGGTTTGTTTCTGCCAGTGGGAGTCAGAAGAGCTTGAGTGTTACACACAAAGTTGTGGCCTTCATTGGAAAATACAGCCTGTGGCATTTGAGGAAACAAATGCTGTTTCATTCTTAACCACGTGTGTGTGGGAACTTTTATAACTCTGGTTGTTTTGTGTGTGTGTGTCTGTGTCTGTGTGTCTGTGTGTCTGTCTGTCTGTCTGTCTGTTGTGGGGCTTGAACTCCCTGAGCTCTTTTGCTCAAGGCCTCCATTCTACCACTTTTAGAGTCACAGCTCAACTTCCAGTATTTCGGTGATTATTTGTAGATAATAGTCTTGTGGGGGCTTTTCTGCCCCAGCTGGCTTGGAACTGCTATCTTCATAACTCAGCCTCCTGATAGCTAAGATTAGAGGTGTGAGCCACCAGCACCTGACAGTTTTTAACTTTTAATCCTTCCAAGTGAAGTTTAATGCTAAAGCATTTTTTATAACAGTTGTTTCTGTTGTACTTCTTTTTATGTCCTTTTCCTATCTATGTTTTTCAAGCCATTACCTTTGTTTTTTTTCCTCAGATAAAGCTATGAAATGTGACAGGGATCCGTTGAGAGACTCACCTAAGAGGACTTGTGAAGCAAAGCAGCACTGCATCTCTCTGAGAGAAGTAACCAGGGTTACATTCTTAAATGCTCATTGAAGTTCATATGGTATTGGCACTATTATATTGACCCAAAATTGATTTCTGTTTGGAAATTCTGGGCTAACATGGTTATTTTTATGACAAAATAAGAGATTTCTGGTTTACTTGTTTTTTTCTGTTTTGTTGATCCTGGGCCTTGAACTCAGGGCTTAGATGCTGCCCTTGAGCTCTTTTTCTCAAGGCTAGCACTCTACCACTACCACTTTAAGCCACAGTGCTGCTTCTGGTTTTTGAGTAGTTAATTGGAAATGAGAATTGCACTGGGACTCTTCTGCCAGGGATGGCTTTCGACCACCATACAGATCCCAGTCTCCTGAGTAGGATTCCAGACATGAGCCATTGGTGTCTGGCTTACTTGTTTTTTATTTTTATTTTTTTTCCCAGTCATGGGGCCTGAACTCTGGGCCTAGGTGCTGTCCCTCAGCTCAAGGCTAGTGCCCTACTGCTTGAGCCATGCGCCACTTCTGGCTTTTTCTGCTTATGTGGTACTGAGGAATCAAACCCAGGGCCTCATGCATGCAAGGCAAGCACTCTACCACTGAGCCACCTTCCCAGCTCCATGGCTTGCTTGTATTTTAAACACATAACTTCAGTTCTCCTCTTACCAAGCTTTTGTTTTGGGTAACTATGAAATTGGATATTTACGAGCTGGACACAATGGCATGTAATTGTAATCCTAGCACTCAGAATACCATACACATATCTGTAACCCTCACTGCACTGAGGCATGTGGATCAAGAGTTAAAAGGTCAGTCTGGACTCCATAGGGAGACCTTGTCTTTAAAAACTTAGGTCTTTACGCTCATTTGAGCAAATATGTAAAAATCAGCATTTCTTGGGGTTGGGAAGGAAGCTCAGTGGTATACACTTATTTTTTTGGGGGGGGGGTCCAGTCATGGGGCCTGAACTCTGGGCCTGGGCGCTGTCCCTCAGCTCTTCAGCTCAAGGCTAGCGCTCTACCACTTGAGCCACAGCGCCACTTGCGGCTTTTTTTTCTTTTTGCTTATGTGGTGCTGAGGAATCGAACCCAGGGCCTCAGGCATGCAAAGCAAGCGCTCTACCACTGAGCCATCTTCCCATCCCCTCCAAGACTATAATTTTTTGTATGTGCTGGTATTGGGGCTTCAAGTTCAGAACTTCATTCACATTCTCTCTTGGCTTTTCTGCTCACAACTAATGGTTTATCCTGGCATTTTTTTTGGTTACTTGGACTTTTCTGCCTGCACTGGCTTTCACCTACAGTCCTCTTTACCTCAGCCTCCTGAGTAGCTAGGATTATAGGCATGTGCCACCATGTAGTGCCTGGCTCCAAAAGACTATGTCCTGTTCAACAAATATGTTCTTTCTGAATTTGTTTATAGGGTGTTGAATCGTCAGCGGACTGGCCTACAAAGAGAGGCATCACCATATATGCCGATCCAGATATACCAGCAGCAAGGTACAATTAGAAAATTTTCTGATCTGACTGGAGCCTAAGTTGCACTGGGTTTTACATACTCAGCCCTAGGCATCTATCTGCATGTATGTGTCGGGGTGAGGGGGTGGTGATGGTATCTGGGTTCTCAGGACCGCTGATGATACCAAAATCTACATATGCTTGAGCTCCTCATGCTCATATATCTTGTTATCTCTAGATTACTTGCTGTGCTTTGCACAACATACATGCTACATACGCAGTTGGGTTTTTGTTTGTTTGTTTTGTTGGTCGTGGGACTTGAAATCTAGGCCTAGGAGCTGTCCCTCAGCTCTTCAGCTCAAGGTGAGTGCTCTACCACTTTTGCCACTGCGCCACTTCCGGTTTTCTGAGTGGTTTATTGGAGATGAGAATCTCAGGGACTTTTCCTGCCTGGGCTGGCTTTTAACTGTGATCCTCTGATCTCAGCCTCCTGAGTAGGTAGAATTACAGGCATGAGCCACCAGCGCCTGGCTATATGCAGTTGTTATATAAGCATAGCTTAGATCATGACAATGAACAAATCTTGTACATTACTAGCACAAGCAGGATATGTTTTTCCAAAATATTCCCAACCTGTGTTTGGTTGAGTACACAGATCCTGGAGCCCATGGGTACACGGGGCTGACATTATAATGTTCTAGAAGTTTGAAATGGGGAAGCATTCTGCCTCAGGACACCCTCAGATCAACAGCAATAAATAAGGAAAAAAGCCCAAGAAATTCTAGGATTCTTTGTTGTTGTTTGGTCATGGAGCTTGAACTCTGGGCCTGAGTACTATCCCTGAGCTCTTCAGCTCAAGGCTAGCGCTCTGCCACTTGAGCCACAGGGCCACTTCTGGTTTTCTAGTTCTTTATTGGAGATAAGAGTTTCACAGCAGCTGGGCACTGGTGGCTCATGACTGTAATCCTAGCTACTCAGGAGGCTGAGATCTGAGGATCATGGTTCAAAGCGAGCCCAGGCAGGCAAGTCCATGAGACTTATCTCCAACTAACCACCAGAAAACCAGAAGTGGCTGTGTTGCTCAAGTGATAGAGTACTTGCCTTGACCTAAAGAGCACAGGGACAGTGCCCAAGCCCAGAGTTCAAGCCTCATGACCAAAAAAAAGCATTTCACAGCCTTTCCTGCCCAGGCTGGCTTTGACCTGCCTCCTGAGTAGCTGGATTACAGGCATGAGCCCTGGGCGCCTGGCTAGAAACTTCAGGATTCTGTGTGTCCTCTCCCTACTACTTTGTTTCCTATGTGGAGCTCCTAGCTGTGATTGGGACCAGATCATGTGGCCAGCACTGATTTCATACTTGGCAGAGCCAAACCTGTATGTTCTGAGGTCTCAAAGACCACTCAGGTTGGAAGTGGTGCTGTGGCTCAAGTGGTAGAGCACTCACCTTGAGCTGAAGAGCTGAGGGACAGTGCCCAGGCCCAGAGTTCAAGCCCCACAATCGACAAAAAAAAAAAAAAAGATAGATCACTCATGTCAATAAACTAAGGGACTGAAATTTTTCACCAGAAAACACATAGTTTCAGATGTAGGGTAAATAAATGAGTTCATAAATCTTTTTTTTTTTTTTTTGCCAGTCCTGGGGCTTGAACTCAGGGCCTGGGCACTGTCCCTGAGCTTCTTTTGCTCACGCTAGCACTCTATACCACTTGAACTACAGTGTCATCTCTGGCTTTTTCTGTTTATGTGGTAGTGAGGAATAGAACCCAGGGCTTCATGCATGCTAGGCAAGCACTCTAACACTGAGCCATATTCCTAGCCTGAGTTCACAAATCTTAATAACTTCTTTATGGTTTTGCTTTTTAGTGCTTTAAGTCAGAAGCCAAATGAGAAGCCACAGAGACTGGCAGAAAAAAAAGACTATGATGAGAAAAATGTCTGTGTGAAGTAAGAACTTTTTTCTTGGTCTAAATTGAACTAATTCTAATGAAACTATATGTAGTTTCAAACTGGTGTTCCCATGACAAAAGCATCAAGGAAGTGCCCTGTGGGTGTCTCCATTCTCTGGGGTGGGTTTTTCTGTCTGATACCTTATTCCAGTAGAATGAGCTTTCCTCCTCTCTTTACCCCCTTGGTGAGGTGAATAGTTTTATGTGATGTTTTAGGGCTGTTGCAATCAACAGGGGTGGTTGCTTTCTTCGTAGTTTGTCTCTGTCCTGCTTATTAGCAACAGTAGTAATTTCATATTTAATCCACAAAATATTTTGTGTCCCTTCTTGAGATTTTTGCTTGTTTGTTTACATCATACTAGCCTTTACCAGGTTAAACAATTTTATATTCTAAGCACCAGCCCGCTCTGCAGGCACCTGAGTGACAGAGCTTGTGGCAGATCACTGGGGTTGTGTCATATTGCTACTGGGTTTGTGGGTCAGCCAGTGGCCCCATGAAGATCCTCTGTCTATCCTGGCCTGCCACGAGCTCCTCCTTACCATGAGCTCCTCTGTGTTTGGTTGTTTGGGATCGAACCCAGGACGTTGCACTTGCTAGGCAAGAGCTTTGCTACTGAGCTACATCCCAGCCCCCTCTCTGTGCTCTAGGCCCAAGCTTGCCGTGGAGTTCTCAGCCTGTGATGGCTCAGCAGCCATCTGACTTGCCCCCTCCCAGACCTTGTTTTGCCTCCTGATGCCTGCAGGTTTTCCTGTGATAACTGACTGTTTTCCTTAGAACAGAAAGCCTTCCTCATACTACTCTACTCATAACCTGCTACGTTAAATTTTATTAAAAAAAAAAAAAAACGATTTCGTCTTCTATTCTGTATCAGAAAGTTTTGTTTTATCTCCTGTTCTGCTAAATGGCTTTTACTGAGAAGCCATGATGCAACTATATGGATTGTTCTTTCAGTGTAATGGGGTTTTCAGGTAACCTTGAGGCAGTTGGTTAAGAAAACAGGCTAGGGAGAGTAACCTGGCAATGGTGTGATGTTTGTGACACAAGCAGGTGGTTCTGGGATTTGGTGATACTCTGTCCAAAGCTTGAGAAACAGTGTATCTGTTATTTCTGCTGTCCAAAGCCTGAGAAACAGTGTATCTGTTATTTCTGGTCAGAGCGGCAAAGACAGCCTAGAAAAGACACTTTTTCTCAAACGTTGGTCCATTGGGAGTGTGCAGGTTTCATAGAACCTCACACCTGACAGTAACAACAACAAGGTTAGAGGAGGGGCACAGGGATGGTGGCATGTTGGCAAGAATCCTGACTTGCCTTGGAAGGCCCCATCAGCCCTCTTCCCTTGGCCACCTCTGTTGGGGTCTGTTTCTTGTTTCTTGATGCATTGCTCAGTCTGTGAGTGCCAGTGGCCTGTTAGATTTATGGCCTCTATATAACTCACTTAGAAATCTAGTCTTCCCCATTTTTTTCTCTGGAGTCCTGGATCCTTGAATGGCAGGGAAAGTGTTGGGGTCTGCATCAAGAGAACAAAGCCCACACACAGCAGGTTTCCCTCAAGTGCTTTTGTTTTTGTTTTTTGGTCATGGGGCTTGAACTCTGGACCTGGGCGCTGTCCCTGAGCTCTTCAACTCAGAGCTAGTGCCCTACCACTTGAGCCACAGTGCCACTTCCAGCTTTTTTCTGCTTAGGTGGTGCTGAGGAATGGAACCCAGGGCCTCATGCATTCGAGGCAAGCACTCTACCACTGAGCCACCTTCCCAGCCCCGCCCTCAAGTTTTTACATGTCCAAAAGCATGCCCCGTTCCCCTGAGAGCTTAGTCTCTCAGGGGCTGAGACCAATTTGTTACTGTCCCTAAGGCACATGCTGGGGGTGACAGATGACTTCTTACTCCATTTGGTTGGTAGTGACTTCCTTATATTGAAGAACGTTTTGACCCTGTAGCCGGATATGCTGGGAGAATGCTCTTAAGATTGAAGTGTCTGGGTCAGGCGCCCTGGGCTCATGCCTTCAGTCCTAGCTAAGGAAGGTCAGGTCGGAGGATCATGGTTCAAAGCCAGCCCAAGCAGAAAAGTCCATGAGACTCTTATCTTCAATACACTACTCAGAAAAAGTCGGAAGTGAAGCTCAGAGACAGCACCCAGGCCTGAGTTCATGCCCCAGAACTGGCACAAAAGAAAAAAAAAAAGATTAAGGTGTTTGAGATGGGTGTAGGAGAGTAGAGTGATGTCCCACTTGCAACCCTTTTATCATCTCTGATGGTTAAAGCCTTGTAGATTTCCAGTAAGCATTTTAACATTTTCCTACTTAGAATCATCTATTTAAGACAGAAAGTTTCTGTATAGTCTCCTGCCCCTTACTCCCCCGCAATAGGGATGGTACTGGCACTGGATCTCAGCCTACACTTCTTTATTATATTGTTTCAGTATCAGTTTATATACCATTCCCTGAACTGGAAAAGCTGAGCAGGAGCTCAAAGGCCCCGGAGTTCAAAGCCCTAGTATGGCACCAAAATACACGAATGGGGTTCGAGGGAAAAGTACAGTTTGATGTATATATTTAAACTACCATGTTTTTTCCCAGTCCCCACCACTGAAAATGGTTGGGAAGTCCTCTGCTGCTATCGTAGTGCTTGCCTATATGGAGATTGGGGCCATGTCTAAAGGAAAGCAATTTCAAATCTCTTTTTTTCTGAGCCAGCAGAGGTGGTAGTGAACAAGTTTGTTCTGGTCTGGCCTTCTTTTTTGTACCGGTCCTGGGTCTTGAACTCAGTGCCTGGGTGCTGTCCCTGAGTTTTTCTGCTCAAAGCTAACATTCTATCACTGGAGCCATAGATCCAGTTTCAGTTTTTCCTTTTTTTTTTTTTTTTGGTGCTGCTTAATTGGAGATAAGAGTCTCACAAACTTTCCTGAACTCTGATAATCAGATCATATCCTCCTGAGTAGTTAGGATTACAAACAGGAGCCACAGGTGCCTAGGTTGGTCTTGACTATGAAGTAAAGCCAGTGAAGTATCCCAGTGGTTCTTGAGTGTGCTTGTGGCTCCCTGTCTGATTTTCTGGATAGTAGAGTTGTTTGATCCCAAATGTAGGCCTAGGGCTAGAGTCTGCATGAGGGGCAGGAAGCTGGCATGACCGGTGTGGATGGCCTATGTGGTATCTTTGTTGTTTGTTTGTTTTTGGTCAGTTGTGGGGCTTGAACTCTGGGCCTGGGCGCCATCCCTGAGCTCTTCAGCTCAAGCCGACCTCTCTACTGCTTGAGCCACAGCACCACTTCTGGTTTTCTAGTGGTTTATTAGAGATGAGAGTCTCGTGGACTTTCTTGCCTGGGCTGGCTTTGAACCACGATTCTCAGATCTCAGCCTCCTGAGTAGCTAGGATTATAGGCGTGAGCCACCGGCGCCTGGTTTCTATGTGGTATCTTAATGAAGTGACATAACACGCAGTCCTTTGCTGTCCTTGGCATCTGTGGTCTGTTTTACCTCTGCCAAGAAAGAATTCAAATAATAGCTCATCTGCAAAAACTATTTTTAAAAATTATTTTACAGGTTACTGCAGTTTTTAAATCCTGATCCTTTGAGAATCAATGGAATCTCTGATCTACAGCAGGTACTTAACAGTACAAATCCTAAAAAGTTACACCAAAGAGAACACTTGGCTTTTAAAATTACTTCTTCCTCCTTCCAGATTTAAGGTTGCAGGAGAAACTGATGAGGGACTTTGCCTGAAGCCATGCTTTTAACAATTATCTAGTGAATTACTGCTGCATACAAAGTGCTCTTTAATTAGTTAATTAATTTCTGCTGGTCCTGGGGCTTGAACTCAGGGTCTGGGTGCTCTGCTTGAGCTTTTTTGCTCAAGGCTGGTGCTCTACCACTTGAGCCACATCTCCACTTCTGGCTTTTTGGAGGTTAATTGAAGATGAGTCTCACACACTTGCCTGCCTATGCTGGCTTTATATTGCCATCCTTAGATATCAGCTTCCTGAGAATGTAGGATCACAGGCATGAGCTCCAGTACCTGGCTGAAATGGCTTTTTTTTTTTTTTTAATTGTGGTAGTGGGGGTGGAACCCCAGAGCACATGCTAACCTATAGGCTCCATTCCCAGCCTTTTCTTCTTTGAGGTAATAAGATAATCTTCCTTTCATTTTGTTGGTTTGGGGGAACATATATACCTGGGTTTTTGTACATGCAACTTGTTAAGTTCTGCTGCTGTCTTACAGTAGGTCCTGGTTTCTAACGTGTGTTGCTTAGTTGCAGAGGTTGACATTGGGCACACAGCATCCTGTTATGGTATTCCGAAACAAGATTGAGCCCTGCCTGACGATTGACAAGTCACCCCTGTCTGCAGACCTGAAAAAGGTGAAAGTGCACATAAAACTCAGGAAGAAATATCTAGCTTTTTATAACACAGAGAGTGGTGGTGGTAGTGTTTTTGTTTTTCCCAGGGTGCTAGTGATGGAACTCAGGGCCTCAGGCATATTAACTACTCAAGTACTGTGCTACTGGGCCACATTCCCAGGCCTGTAGAATGCTGTGTACTAGGGTTAAGTCCCTTTTTTCTGCTCAAGGCTGGCAATCTACCACTTGAGTCACATTTCCACTTCCTTTTTCGTGATTTAATTAAAGATAAGAGTCTCATGGACTTTACTGCCTGGCCTGGCTTTGAACTGCAATCCTTAAATCTCAGCTTCCTATGTAGATGGGATCACAGGCATGAACCAGTGGCACCCGATTTTAGAATTGTTTTTAATAGTTCTAAGATTGTATTATATGATTTCTTTGCTTTTGAAATTCTGTTTTAAGCTTTTGTTATTTCTCATTTATTCTTAAGACCAAGTTAACATCCTTTAAGTGGAAAAGCTACTGTATGATGTAATATTCTTTTCTGAAATGTTTTAAAATGTGCTTCTAAAAGGGTCTTAGAAGAAGCAACAATTTGCCAGTGCATTTGTAATATTAGCCATTTTCAAAACCATTTTGTATTTATGTGGTTTGACTTGGTAAATTGATCAAACATCCTTACCTATAAAACTTAGCTAGGTTCCTGTGGTTCACACCTATCAGCTACTCAAGAGGCTCAGATTTGAGGATCACAGTTTGAAGCCAGTTTGGGCAGGAAAGTCTGTGCTCATCTTCAGTTAACCAGCAAAAGAACCGAAGTGGAGCTGTAGATTAAAATGGTAGACCACCAGTCTTGAGCAAAAAAAGCCAAGCAAGAGCATAAGGCCCAGAGTTCAAGCCTCTATACTGACAAAATGTTCTAAAAGGCTGGCTGGGGATGAATAGACTTGTCTACCATGCACGAGGCCAGGACTCGAATGGCTGGAGCCTGCTCAGCCACACCATGGAGGGTGGACTTAGGCACTTTGGTGCAAAATCACTTTAACTTGCAGGCCCGCACTCTGGCTATCAGTGATATAGACAGAAAGTCTCAAAACAAGTGTACATTCTTTGTCCTTTTTGTTCATAAGCCCCTGAAACTCGTGCTTCGTAAAACAAGTCCTCCAAGGACGAAGAGCCAGTTCTGCTCCCAGGCTGATGAGGAGCCCGCAGTCTGGCAGTTGGGGAGGAACCCAGGCAAAGGCGCAGCGTTGTTGAGAATTATTAGAACGTTTGAGTTTCAGTGACAATTGGCTAGGAAAGCAGATAAAAGCGCGCTTCTAAGAAAGCTATTTACAAGTGAGACTGATGGACTGGCAGGTGTTAGGAGAATGATGTGAAAGGCCACATCCTTGATCAAATGCATGTGGGTGGGCTGCCTCTTGGCCCAGAAAAGCAGGGATTATGATAGGAATTTTGTACCATGAAGATTAAGCCATGTACACCATATGGTGAGATCATTTTGTTTTCCCTGCTCCATGTTGATTTGGGGTGATTTTTCTCTTAATAGGCTCTTCAAAGAAAGAAGTTTTCAGGACCTAGCCCCACCGAGTCTTACTCTTGGCCTCCCATCGCACGTGGCTGTGATGTAGTGGTCCTTTCTCACTCTGGAAACGATCCTCTGTTGTACCTTCCACCATTGCTAACAATTTTGCAAATTGGGGGCTGCTACAAATCTTTACCAAGTAGAAACGGGGTAAGTCAAGGACATTTTTATTTCCCAGCCAAATGTTATCTAAAGTGTTTTCCATTGTGCACCTACCATTCAGTAGCAGTGAAGTTCACACTGCCAGGATAGAAGCTATCCTGTGACTAGGCTTGCTTAACTCATTTCTGGGTCGTTAGCCCAAGCCACAGTTGGTGGGGTGATGGCTGGGCAGCACAGGCCTGGCTTTTGGAGGTGAATCTAAAGGGCTTATAAAATGAGTTTATTTAATTCATGTAATTGTCCTGATAACCATGGGAGGGTTAGGCCATGTATTGTTAGGAAATTGGAGAAAGGAAGGAAACAGGCCGGACTCGATCTTGCATAGACGAGGACTGTTTATTGAGATAGAGTAGTGAGGGACACAGCCTTCTGATGGGCTTGAAGACCATGTGTTTGAGCTGGGACAGAAGCTGGGTTTGATGAGGTCTGAGCAAGGAGGCAGAGGTTAATGAAAAAGCCACTAGGTCAAGGGAGGTGGGGGCTTTTCGGTTGTGCCCACAATGGATGTTTACAGCCAGGCTTAGATAGACTCCTGCTGGAGTCAGCCAGTCTGCACTTACCTTTGGTGGGTTGCTGGTATCTGTATGCACCTGGGAAAACAGCGTGGGAGTCAGTCCTTCATGTATTGTTGTCCTCATGCACAGGAAAACAGAACATGAATACTTAACTCCTTGTAAGTGGTAGACGTGGCGTTAGAGTTCAGTTCTTGTTGTCTTGTCCTGTAGCCTTCTGAGTTTTTCATGACACCCAATGCTGTCTTACCTTCCTGCTTCTCCTATACTTAAGAATCGACAAAAGCCAGGCACTGGTGCCTCAGGCATGCAAGCCAAGCACTCTACCGTTGAGCCACCATCCCAGAGCCTGGAAGGCAGGATTCTGGAGAAGTAGGTTTGACATCCTCATAATGAGAGCAGGAAATCTGGAATCATACTTCGTACACTCATAACCTGTTGCCTTTAGGTTTTAGCTGTGCACCCTTGTGCATTTGACTTCACCTCTCTGTGCCCTGGGGCTTATCTGTGACATGAAGGAATAGGCCCTGCCCTGCAAAAGTGGTTTAAAAACTGCACGAATTACCTTTTCAATGTGTCCAAAATGTGTTTGAATGAAATTTTATTTTAACTTGTCTGACCTGGATGGCGATGGCAATGGTGATGGTGGTAGTGGTCACACACGCAGCTTCCTCTGTGTGAGGTGACACCCGGGTGTTGCATGCACACAGGGCTGCTGACGCCTCTGAGATGTTTGGGTGTGGTTGTCTTTGCAGCCTCTGGCCGTCATCGTGTGCCCCAGGTGGAGGAAGGCTCAGTTCATTTTTGAATTGTTGGGAGACTACAACATGTCCTCCAGGCCCCTTCATCCTGTCTTACTGACAATCGGCCTTCACAAAGATGAAGCCAAGAACATGAAGCTGCCTCGCGGGTGTAAGCATCCTTTCCAAGCTGTTTGCTTCTCCCCACAGAGGGCAACTTGGCCTGTATGTCACTAAAGCCCTCCTGCCTTTCAGGAGGGAGGATCCTTGTTGTGGGGGTCAGATGCCAGCAGGGCTTAGCCACAGTGGGCAGGGAAATACGCAGAGAATCTGAGCAGAGGACACATTGGGGAGACATGCGGACAATCTGGAGTGCTCATGTGTCTCCTTTTAAAATGTAGGCGACGTAATTATTACCACACCGCACAGCCTCCTGAGACTGCTCACGTACCAGAGCCTGCTGTTTCTCAGACTCTGTCACCTGGTTTTGGATGAGGTGGAAGTGTTATTCTCTGAGGCCAATGAGCAAGTGAGTATGGCATCCTACACACAGTGTGTGAGCTGGGCGTGTCTCTGCCCCTTCCTGCTAGAAGGATCAGGAAAAGTGGCCAACTAGGAAATAAGCTGGGCAATCTACAGATAGACTTTAACTCCTGTCATCTAGAAATTTCTTAAACAGTGTTAATATTTTCTTTGAAGAGCCAAAACTTTGTTGCCAGGGAGAGTTGCTAAAATATTTATTTTTTTTTTTCATTATGGAAGCCACCATCTTTATTTTTTTTTTAATTTGAGAAACAAAGCCAGGTGCCGGTGGCTCACGCCTATAATCCTAGCTACTCAGGAGGCTGAGATCTGAAGATCGCGGTTCAGAGCCAGCCAGGGCAGGAAAGTTCGTGAGACTCTAATCTCCAATAAACCACTAGAAAACCGGAAGTGGCGCTGTGGCTCAAGCTGTAGAGCACTCTCCTTGAGCTGAAGAGCGCAGGAACAGTGCCCAAGCCCAGAGTTCAAGCCCCACGACAGGCAGAGAAACAAGCCGGGTGCCGGTAGCTCATGCCTGTAATCCTAGCTACTCAGGAGGCTGAGATCTGAGGATCTCAGTTCAAAGCCAGCCCAGACAGGAAAGTCCGTGAAAGGGGCTGGGAAGGTGGCTCAGTGGTAGAGTGCTTGCCTTGCATGCATGAGGCCCTGGGTTTGATTCCTCTGCACCACATAAGCACAAAAGCCAGAAGTGGTGCTGTGGCTCAAGCGGTAGAGTGCTAGCTTTGAGCTGAAGAGCTGAGGGACAGTGCCTGGGCCCAGAGTTCAAGCTCCACAACCAACAATAAAAATTTGAGAAACAAACTGAAGGCATAGTTCAGTTGGTAGAGCACTAGCCAGTGAGTAAAAGCATCAGGTATCAAGTTCGGGTTCTGGAAAACTTTGAAGAAAAATGATTTATTTTTGTTTATGTGGTATCAAGGAATAGGGCCTTATGCATGCTAGGCAAGCATTCTGCCACTAAGCCACATTCCCAGCACTGGAAAACTCTTTAACACCAGCTTAAATCTTACCCTCAGGTGATGATGACTCATTATTTTGGAGTCTTTAAAAAAAAAAAAAAACATGCCTAGGGCTGGGAAGGTGGCTCAGTGGTAGAGTACTTACCCTGCATGCATGAGGCCCTGGGTTCAATTCCTCACACCACATAAACAGAAAAAGCCGGAAGTGGCGCTATGGCTCAAGTAGTAGAATGCTAGCCTTGAGCTGGAGAGCTGCAGGACCGTGTCCAGGTCCCAGAGTTCAGACCCCAAAACCGGCAAAAAAAAAAAAATCTAGCTGGGCTCTAATGGCTTATACCTGTAATCCTAGCTACTCCAGAGGCTGAGCTCTGAGGATCACAATTCAAAGCCAGCCCAGCCAGAAAAGTCCCTGTGAGACTCATCTCCAATTAACCACTCAAAAACTGGAAGTGAGCCGGGCATTGGTGGCTCACGCCTGTAATCCTAGCTACTCAGGAGGCTGAGATCTGAGGATCTTGGTTCAAGGCCAGCCTGGGCAAGAAAGTCTGAAACTCTTAACTCCAGTAAACCACCAGAAAACCAGAAGTGGTGCTGTAGCTCAAGTGGTAGAGTGCTAGCCTTGAGCTGAAGAGTTGAGGGACAGCGTTCAGTTCAAGCCCCACGAGCGACAAAAAACAAAACAAAACAAAAACAAAAAACTGGAAGTGGCACGTGGCTCAAGTGGTAGAGAGGTAGCCTTAAGCACAAAGAGGGTCAGGGACCATGCCTAGGCCCCAAGTTCAACTTTCACAACTGACAGAAAAATCCTGTGTCTGTTGATATATACAATTAGTATCATGACCATATTCTGTATGGTAATTTATTTTTGAATTTAAGCCCCCACCTTTGCTAGGCAGATGCTCGGTCACTTCAGCCATACCTCCAGTTCTTTTTACTTCCGTGATTTTTTTTTTCAGATAGAGTCTAAGACCTTTTGCCCAGCCAGCCTAAGCTACAATCCCCCTATTAATGGTTCCTGCAGAGCTGGAGTTTTTTAAAGTGTGCTCCTACCACACTGTGTTTTGGAGTTTCACTAACTTTTTGTCTGAGTTAGCTTCAAAATCATGACTCTCCCCACCTCTACATCTTCCTGAGTTGCTAGGGTTACAGGTGTGAACTATTGTATCTGATAGTTTTTAAGTTTATTTTTTCCGGTCATGGGGCTTGAACTCAGGGCCTGGGTGCTGTCCCTGAGCTCCTTTTGCTCAAGGCTAGCACTCTACCACTTGAGCCATAGCACCACTTCCGGCTTTTTCTGTTTATGAGGTACTGAGGAATTGAACCCAGGGCTTCATGCATGCTAGGCAAGCATTCTACCTCTAAGCCCAATTTTTTTAGTTTTTAATGTGAACATGTTAATCTTGTTGTATGTCTTACAAATATTTACCAGGACGTTGTTTGTGCTTTAATTCTGTTCAGAGTAGAGTTTTATTTACTTAAAACATTTCATCCTTTTTAGTTTTTTTTTTCCTTTTATTTTTGGAAAGGTTCTCTCAACTCTGAAGATGAAAGATACAGTCTCCTACATTTTATGTTGTAATTTTTACTCTTTTGAAATAATGACATTAACTATACTTTTTTTTAGACATTTGCTATATTAGATAACTTCAGAAAAAACATTGAGGTAGAAGAACGGGAGTCTGTACCCCACCAGGTCATTGCAGTCGGCGTTCACTGGAGCCGACACATAGAACACCTGGTCCAGGAGTTCCTGAATGACCCATACATTGTGATCACAGCCCCCGAGGAGGCTGCGCTCTCTGGCAGCGTCCAGCAGGTGATTGGGGTGGGCTGGCGAGCACCGGCAGCCACCTGTGTCCTATAAACTGTCCTCTTCCATGGTAGACTACGCGGTGAATTTTGATTATGGCTTACGTATAAAACCTAGGAACACTTGGAACATTTAAAAATCGGAATGTTTAAGATCCATAATCAGCTCAGGGTATTTGCCAATCTAAAGTAAAGTATGTCCTTCAGATCAATGGTGCTGAAGTCCCTTTTGCTGCAGTGTGTGAGAGGTATGTTGTATGTGGATGGGTGGATGTGTGTTTGCGTGCATGTTTGTGCATGTGTGACTGTACATGCTTATCCATGGCAGAAAATATTGGAAATGTAAGCTTTTGTCTATGTTTAGAATGTGATGTAATGAGCAGCTACCCTTTGGGGAAGGGGAAGGGAGTTAAGCTGTGACAGATGGCTCTAGTTGCCTTTAACTGTACACAGAGCTAAGTGACCAAACTTCTTGTTTTGATTTGAAAAAGTGCATTGTTTTCTTGTCCCTCCCTTCAGTGAAACATTACCCTTTGGTGGGCCTTTTCATGTGAACACGTTTTCTAGGACAAATCTAAGGACTAATTTCAAATGGAAAACATTCCACTTTTGTCATTTGTCTTAAATTATTTTATATATAATTAATCTAGTTATAAGAGAAACTGGTGCTTTCATTTAGTTCATTTGTATTTCCCTTGTTACTGTGAAAGACTTTATTATGTTCACAGTTTGTTGCAATAGCCACTTTCTTGGGAGGAAGCTTGAGTGTAAAGCCATTTGCAAAAGGCTTTGGCATACTCATTTTAATATGCTCCAGTTGCTGTTAAGATCTTTTTACAAAAAATCTCCTTGCTCTGTATTCTCTTGCCCAGGTAGTCCATCTTTGCCTGGAATGTGAGAAAACCTCAACTTTACTCCAAGTTCTTGATTTTATGCCAAGTCAGGCCCAGAAGACCTTGATCTTTACCTGCTCTGTAGCTGAAACAGAAATAGTGTGTAAGGTGAGCCCAGCTCCATGGTAAAACATACTCATGAGTGGCTGGATCTCAGGCAGTCAGAGTGTCTTTGGAACAGTCAGCTATGTGGCTTGGGTACAGCCTCTCAAGTTTATCTACCAATGGGAAAGGAGGTGGGCTGTAGAGAAGGTTGGTACCAAAGAAGGAGCCACACAGGTGGCCATGCCTTTCAATGGGAACAGGAGCGTGAAAGCATCTAGTAGATGAAGAAATGTCATGGTATGTGTGTGTGTCTGTGTCTGTGGGTCTGTATCTGTATGTGTGGTGGGGGGAGATGGGAAGGCTTGACCTGGGCTTAAACACAGCTCCTTGTGCTGTTCCTGGGCTTTTAAATTTCTTTTCTCACAACTAGCATTGGGAGTGCCAGATGTAGCTTGGGTATGCCTCTAGTCAGGTTTGCTGGCCTGGCCTGGCCTTCCTTTTCTTTTTTGCCAGTCCTGGGCCTTGAACTCAGGGCCTGGGCACTGTCCCTGAACTTCTTTTGCTCAAGGCTAGCTAGTACTCTACCACTTGAACCACAGCACCACTTCCAGATTTTCTGTCTCTGTGGTACTGAGGAATCAAACCCAAGGCTTTATGCATCCTAGGCAAGCACACACTACCATTAAGGATTCCCAGCCATCTAGTCAGGCTTGTAACTGGTTACTTACAGAAATTCTGTCTGAGATGAATTATAGCCAGGATTACAGGTGTGAGCCACAAATGCCCAGCAGAAATGCCAAGTTCTATATGCTTTAAGAAGATAGCCATACTGTGGCTCAAGTGGTAGAGCGCTAAGCTTGAGCTGAAGAGCTGAGGGACAGCGCCCAGGCCCAGAGTTCAGGCCCCACGACCGGACCCCCCCAAAAAAAAGAAGATAGCCAGAAAGGTCACTGTCATGTACACCCCAAATATATTTTAATGATTGATTCAGTTTAATCTACTTTTGTATACATTTAGGCTAAAATGCAGAAACAAAGCCAAATATAAAATGAAATAATCAAGGCTGGGAATGTGGCTTAGTGGTAGTGTGCTTACCTACCATGCAGGAAGCCCTGGGTTTGATTCCTCAGTACCACAGGAACAGAAAAAGCCAGAAGTGGCACTGTGGCTCAAGTGGTAGAGTGCTAGCCTTGAGCAAAAAAAGCTCAGAGACAGTATCCAGGTCCTGAGTTCAAGCCCCAGGACTGGCAATAAAAAAAAGATGAAATAATCAGTGGTACTTGTCCTTTTTGCTATAAAGATCTAAAAGGTACCTGTTGGCATTCCACGGATCTGGTGTATCCATGTGCACGTTCAACATCATCTGTGCATGCATTTGCATGTGCACCAGTAGCTCACATCTGTAATCCTAGTCACTAAGGTGGCTGAGATCTGATGATTGTTTTTTCAAAGACAACCATCTAGGAAAATCCTTGAGATTCTTATCTCCAATTAACCAGCCTAAAAGCCAGAAGTGGATGTGTGGCTCAAGAGGCAGAGCATCAGCCTTGAGCAAAAAAGCTCAGGGATAGTATCCAGGCCCTGAGTTCAAGCCCAAATACTAGCACCCAGAAACAAAATGGAAACACATTTAGCAAGATAGTGTTTCAACCTTGAACAAGTTTGTAGGTAAAAATTATGGATTTTTGGAAATTGGGCTGTTTGTGTTGAAGAGGTGTCTTATCCATGAGAGATCCTGGGTCATGGAGGTGGGACTTCCAGGTAGTGTGATGTCAGTCACACTGGCCATTCCTGGTGGAGGCAGTTGGCCACGGGCCTGACCATGACTGGCCTCTTTTGTTATCATCTTTAGGTAGTAGAAAGCAACTCAATATTTTGCTTGAAAATGCACAAAGAGCTTGTTTTTAACTTAAAAAGTGTCTTAGAACAGTGGAAGAAGAAGTTGAGTTCTGGTTCTCACATTGTATTAGGTAAGTAAGTGTTTTGATTTCTACTTACAAGTAGATTTTTTAATAATGACTTCAAAATGAAAATTAACCTCGAGTTTCTCATGTTGAGGTAATTCTAGGTACACTTTTCCAACCAAGTTCACCTTGCTCTAGATAAAATTCACATGAATATATCCTTGTATATATGTGCAGAATTAAACATGGTCAGAATTAAGATTCCTGTTATAGATATAAAGTCAAATACACACAATAAATGAAAAATACATAGCCTAGGCTATGGGTATGGGTGACTCACACTTGTCATCTTAGCTACCTAGATGGCTCAGATCTGAAGATAGCAGTTCAAAGCCAGCCTGGGCAGGAAAATCTGTGAAACACTTAACTTCTAGTTAACAGCCAAAAAGTGAGAAGTGGAGCTGTGGCTCAAGTGTTAGTGCACTAGCCTTGAGCACAAAAGCTCAAGACAGGCCTGGGAAGGTGGCTCAGTGGTAGAGTGCTTGCCTTGCATGCATGAGGCACTGGGTTCGATTCCTCAGCACCACATAAGAAAAAAGAAAAAAGCTGGAAGTGGAGCTGTGGCTCAAGTGGTAGAGCGCTAGCCTTGAGCTGAAGAGCTGAGGGACAACGTCCAGGCCAGAGTTCAGGCCCCACGACCAGACCCCCCCCCAAAAAAAAGCTCAATACAGCACTCAGGCCTTGAGTTCATAAAGAAATGCCCCCCCCTCCACACACACAAAAGCTAGATTCATGATAAAAAAAAAAAAGGCATTTCCATGGAAATGGTGCTATGGTTCAAGTGGTAGAGAGCTGGCCTTGAGCTGAAGAGCTAAGGAACAACACTCAGGCCCAGAGTTCAAGCCCCACAACTGACAAAAATAAAGGCATTTCCAAGCTTAAAAAGAGGTCACTTTCTATGGAATTTAATCAGTGGGCTGTAGAATTTGGTGGGGTGGGAGATGTAAAAAAAAGTCACATCTAAAAAAAAAAAATGCAGGAGTACAGGTAGCTTACTGGTAGAGGCTTTTAGCTCCATTATACTAAGCAAGTTCAGAAAACTTGCCCTCATGGTAACGTAAGCAAATCCTCTTCCCCAGCCTCTACTGACGACTGCATCCCACTGCTGGCCATCACCGACGCCACGTGCGTGGTGCACTTCAGCTTCCCCGCCTCACCCAAGGTTTTTGGTGGACGTCTTTATTGCATGTCTGATCATTTTCAAAGTTTTACTCAACAGGTTTGATCCTTTTTTAAAAAAATTCTCTTCAGTATAGTGACAAATTCAGAGCCCACGGTTTCACTGAGTTTGACCTGGATAATCTCTTGGTTCCCTTACTCACCCCCCTCCCCCAATTGTAAGGGTTCACCGGTAGAGTGTGGAGATAAAAAAACCAAGTCTGTCTTGCTGCTGACGGAGAGGAATGCTAGCCACGCAGTGGGTGTCCTGCGCTACTTGGAGCGAGCAGATGCCAAAATACCATCGGAATTATACGAGTTCTGTGCAGGGGTCTTGGAAGCCAAAGAGGACAAGAAAGCCAGAAGGCCGCTCTGTAAACACCTGAAGGCTTTCGGCTTCTGCAAGTAAGCCAGTGCTCTTTGTCTAAAACTGAGGGATGGTGTACAGTTAAATTGAGAGATGGGAAGTTTACAGCCTGGCAGCACTCAGGCCTGCCCCCTAGTGGCCAGCCCCCAGCCCTGAGGGAGCGGGCCTGGGCCCTGCCGTAACTGTTCACTGACAACGTGTGCATTCTCCTTTTTCCATTTTTCAAATCTTCATGTATTAATTGCACATGTTAACAGGACGCAGTGTGCTACTTCCATACGTGCATGTGGATGCTCTGACCAAATTTCTATCGCCCTCCCACAAACCCCTCCTAGCCTCTAGTAATTGTATCTTACTTTTTGATGAACTTTGTTTCTCATAACAGGGTTTCCTCCGGTTCCATCCACTTTGCTACAAATAACACTTAATTCTGCATGGCTGAAGAGAACCACACCGTATTACTATGCATTTCATTTTCTTTCCCTGTCTGTATATTGGTGGTACCTGGGCTCATTTTTTTTTCTCATTGTTTTGCTCATTGTTGATGGCTGTCTAAATGGAATTGTAGTGTGTATTCTTGTGTCAACATCTGTTTTGTTTTTTTTTGTCCAGTCATGGGGCCTGAACTCTGGGCCTGGGCGCTGTCCCTCAGCTCTTCAGCTCAAGGCTAGCGCTGTACCACTTGAGCCACAGCGCCACTTTCAGCTTTTTTTCTTTTTGTTTATGTGGGGCTGAGGAATCGAACCCAGGGCCTTGTGCATGTAAGGCAAGCGCTCTACCACTGAGCCACCTTTCCAGCCCCTTGTGTCAACATCTGTGACGTCTGTCTATACGGGGTGCACTGGCTTTTCCTTAGTTTGTGGCTTGGTATTATAGGAAAACATCACGGTGCACACAGTTGCTCGCCTGGTGATGGCCTGTGGGGTTTAGTCTAGGCTGTTGTGTCTGGAATCGCATTGAACACTTACAGTCTGCACATCTTCCTAGAGAGGTATGTGCCCACTCCTATAGGCAGTCTGAGCAGGAGCGATGAGTGAATGCAAACTGCCTGTGTCCTGACCACCTCTGGAGCAGTCTAGTTCAGTCGGCGTGTCTGTGGTGACACAGTGGATGCTCAGCTCTTGTTTGTTTTTGAAGGACTTGTGTTGACGTCCTTTTCCCAGCTTAAAAATGGCTAGATGCCATTGGCTCATGACTCATCCTAGCTACACGAGAGGCTTAGATCTGAAGATCATGGTTTGAAGCCAGGCCAGGCAGAAAAGTCCATGAGACTCTTAACATGCGACAAACTACGTAGAAAAAGCCAGAAGTAGAGCTGTGGCTCAAAGAGTAGGGTGTCACCCTTGAGCTCAGAGAAGCTCAGGGACAGTGCCCAGGTCCTGAGTTCAAGCCCCAGAACTGACACACACACAAAAACATTGTAGAACACTTTTTCACTCGTTTATAACTTGCTAGTATCATGTAGGTACTTAATATTTAAGGTGAGTTGAATAAACCTCTAATTTCAGTTCAGACTTCTTTTTTTCCTACTTTTAAAATCTGGTCATATTTTTCAGAGACAAAAGGGTATGTCCTGATCGACACTATGTCAGTACAGAGCTGGACATGCCAAGGAAGTTGTCTGACCAGGCTCTGCCAGTATATGGGTACATCCAGGTATGTTCTGTTAAGACCCTTTATCCAGGGATTTTCTTTTCATTTTGGTGGTGTGGGGGTTTGAACTTATGGCCATGCTTGCTAGGCAGAGATGTTCTACTGCTTGAGCCATGCCTTGAACTCCATCCAGGCCTTTTTGCTTTCATTCCTTTTTGATCAGGCCTTATACCCTCCAACCTGGAGAGCAATCCTCTTGTTTATACTTTCTGTATATGTCTGGGATGACAGGCATGTAACTACATGTTCCATTTTATTATTTTTTTGCCAGTCCTGGGGCTTGAACTCAGGGCCTGGGCATTGTCCCTGGCTGCTTTGGCTCAAGGCTGGCACTTTCCCACTAGAGCCACAGCCCCACTTCCAGCTTTTTCTGTTTATGTGGTACCAAGGAATCAAACCCAGGGCTTCCTTCATGTTAGGCAAGCACTCTCCCACTAAGCCATATTCCCAGCCCTCCATTTTATTTTTAAATATGATTTTGTTATTAAGGTGTTATACCAGGGAGTTACCATTTCTTAAGTCAGGTAATGAGAACAATTCCTTTTGAATAATGTCACCCCTTCCTTTGTGTTCCCCTGCTTTCTCCCTCCCATTCAGCTTTTAATTTTATTTATTTTTTTGTTGGGTATGGGGCTTGAACTCAGGGCCTGGGCACTGTCCCTGAGCTCTTTTGTCCAAGGCTAGTACTCTACCACTTTGAGCCACAGAGCCATTTCCAGTTTTCTGGTGGTTAAATGGAGATAATTGTCTCATAGCCTTTCTTGCCCAGGCTGGCTTTGAGCTGTGACCCTTAAATCTCAGTGTCCTGAGTAGCTAGGATGATAGGTGTGAGCCACCAGTGCCCGGAAGCTTTTATTTTTAATCAGTTGGGTAGTGTCTTATGAACTTTTTTGCCCAGACTGGCCTTGAACTTTAATCT